ATACGGAAGCAAATATTTTGAAGGATATTGAAATTTTTTTAAAACCGTTTTACAAAATGACGTTGGAAATATCATCCGATACTACGACGATTTGAACGGCGGTTTTATTTATTTCAAGGATGGAAAAAATTTTAGAGGAGACTTCCAGAAATCATAATGATGATGCCATTAAGAATGCTGCAAATAAAATGTTAACAAAGTGTATGACATAAAAATTTATGTGAGCACATTTAGTAATTATGTGGCTACATTACTTGATCCTAAAACTAAAATTATATATATACCTAAAATATTAGTTAAGGCGGAATATATGGAAAAATTTAAAATATTATATAAAGGTTTTGAATTTCCATCTAATAGATCTAATTCCTACGAATTTTCTCCTGATGACATTACTCAGCTGTATTCTGTTTGTACATTGTCACTGATTGCAAAAGATTTTATTGCCCAGCAATCATCAAGTGTGCTGAGTGAGAGAGTCTTTAGCGAGACAGTGGATTTCCTGACGAAAAAAAGAAATAGGATGGTACCATCCACCTTAAAGCATTGTTTATCCTTGAATAACTGGGATATCGATATATGGCAATAATATCTATATTTTTTTCTTATGTTATACCATATAATATTTTTTTCTTATGTTATATTTATATTATTATATCTTATTTAGAAACAGAAAAATAAAGTAAATTATTTAATTGTTGTTTGATTAGATTAAGATCAGAATAATTCTTTACTAAAGAGGTGATTTTTTAAATATTTTAAAAGCTATTAACCATTAATTTTTAAATAAAATAATTATCTAAAAGAATGACTAAAGAGGGACTATAAAAATACTAAATATATATTAAATACAGCTAAGGAAGATTTCTAAAGAAAATTCACTTGTCATCTCGTAATTTTGATTATTATCACACGTATGGTTTTCTTATATAAAATTTAAATAATGGTTGAGATATAATCAAAATATTCAGATACCTGCGAAATATTTTAATATTTGAGAATATAGTATTCATTCAAAAAATGTAAATAAGGATCTAATTGAGTATTCAATCAAAAAATGTTAATAAGAATTTATTTGATCAAATAAAATGAGGAATAAGATAATGAAGTAAATAATTGGTATTCACTATTCAAGTTGGAATATTAAGTAATAAAATATAAATAACAGAACAAATACCTTAAATAATAATAATTAATTTGAAATATTCGTCCTCTAGTCGACTCAACTATATAATTTGAATTCCTAAATCAAGTTGGATGTCTAAAGTAAAAAAATGTAAATAACAGAACAACTATCTTAAATAATAATAATTAATTTGAAGTTCATCCTCTAGTCGACTCAAATTGACGACTCAAGTTCAAAGAACTATTCGTCCTCTAGTCGACAACTATATATTTTGTATTCACGACACAGGTTGGAAGTCTTAAGTAAAATGTAAATAACAGAACAAATATCTTAAATAATAATATCTATTTTGAAATATTCGTCCTCTAGTCAACTCAAGTTCATAGAACTATTGATCCTCTAGTCGACACAACTATATAATTTATATTAACGACTCATGAAAATCTAAAGTAAAAAATGTAAAAAACAAAAATATCTTAATTAATAATACCAAATTTCAAATATTCGTCCTCTAGTCGACTCTAGTTCATAGAACTATTGGTCCTCTAGTCGACACAACTATATAATTTATAATAACTTAACGAGTCATGAAGGTCTAAAGTAGGAAATAAAATACAAAAAATATCTTAATTAATAATACCAAATTTGAAATATTCGTCCTCTAGTCGACTCAAGTAGACGGCTTTAGTACATAGAAATATTCGTCCTATAGCCGATTCAACTATATAATTATATTCACGAGTCACGACTCAAGTTTGAAGTCGAAAGTAGTAAAATACAAAAACTATCTTAATTAATAATAATAGATCTGAAATATTCGTCCTCTAGTCGATGACTTAAGTTAAATACGAATATTTTATGAACTTGAGTTGATGACTCGAGTCGACTTGAGTTGATGACCTGAGTTTATAACTCAAGTCAGTTTGGGTCGATTTTTTTGACCCAAAACTTGACTCAGTTTTCGACTCAGTCGATTAATTCTCATATTTTTAGTAATATATATGTAAGCTAAAATTTCGTTTTTCATTTTACTACACCATATATAACGTGCCTACATTTTCAAAATTGAAAGGGGTCGGTCGAAAATTAATTTTCTCCCTTATTTATTATATTACCCCAACACAAAACCAGGTGCGGATTGTCAATGGTGCGGCTTTATGGGCCTTATTTTTATCGGGGAATGGCTCATTCCTATTATACATGGTTTCTATTATTGGACAAAATGTATATGGTGGGCGGGTTAAACACTATATTACAGTTAATACAATTTTATTAGAAGAATTATTATGACACGTTAACCATATTTATTTTATAAATCGCATATTTAAAATCATAATCATTGTACATAGTGTTGTTAAACGGCTCATTTTGAGGCGATTTTTAAAAACGGCTAACTCAATATTTTATTAGGGAAAATATGCAAGCCTTAAGATTTTGCTCATAGGTAGCACAAAGGTTTGAACATTTATTAACGAAATCTCGAGGCTTAGACAATATTTTTCTGGTTAAAATATTGAGTTAACCGTTTTTAAAAATAGGCCTACATTTAACAACACTATACACATATAAAAATTTATCGCATTTGTGCATATAAAATAATATATATTTCACATATTAAATTCTATTAATTTCATATATAATTGATTACATATTGCACCATAAATTCAACATTTAGAGTCTACAAAGAGAAATTTAAGTATTCCTGTATCTTCACGATCCATCATTTGCAATATATATCCAATTATCGAATTATTATTTAATCGTTACAATACTTATTTGTTTTTTACGCTCCCTTCGGACTCTTGTTTTCATTTGAAAATTTAATTAATAAACAAAAGAGGAGACGAAAATGATGTCTTATTTCAAAAATTAGCCCTCTATTGAATGCTAAAAATGATAATCTTTGATTGTTATTATATTAAGATATCAATAAACTAGTTTTCGTTTATATTTTTTTTGCTGCCTTATTTCTCTATCACATTTTTCTATTTTCATTTAATTCTTCTTTTAATTGTGTAAAGAAAATTTTTCTAATCATTATATATGTTATAAATAAATGTAATATAATCGTTAATTTTTTCAAGTAACGTGCCAACCCTGGTTGTATGCATATTAACGTCAAAGAATCTCATAGACATTATGCATTAGTTACATTTGTTATTGCACTTGGTTGGGGTTATTATTATCTTGTGTTATTTTAGTTTATTTTATTATTCCTCACTATCATATATTATATCTTCAGTATTTTCATTTAACTCGACTATTGAATTTTTGTAAATATGGGCAAATGAAACCTGCCGCAATTTATCGCTGAATGCATTTTTCAATTTTGAGTTTTCTTCAAGGCTTTTCAGAAAGATTGCTTAGAGGCCAATCAAATCTTCGGCTCAATTTGCATTCATTACTGTACTTCCTCCTTGTTCAACTTATTCCATTTTTTAGCATTTCATTTTGTTCTCTGATACTGGAAGTTTTGTACCAGGAATATTTTAATTCAAATTTATAATCATCTTTGCAGCTTTATTTTGAATGGATGTGTAGATACAAAAGATAAGAAGACATGGCATCCTCGGCCATTTTCTTACCTGAATATCTAAATTTTTAGTTTGAAGATATAATAATAGCTATCTGTCCCGTTATTTAAAAATCAAAATAATTGGAGCTGATTTATCGTATTAAATATGTACAGATTCTTAATCAAAGATTTATCTACTGATGAAGTTTTCGCTTTAAACTATTATTATTATTTATAATATTGTAGCGTACTTATAGCTATCAAGAGTAAGCTCTCTTCATCATTTAACCATCTAACATGCCCATCACCTAATTTCACCACTTTTTGCTCCTTGATAACTTACTTTGGCTGGATGAATTATTTACAAGGATAAATTATTTGATTTTTCATAATTAATTGATATCTTATGTACTATATATTTCCAAATTAAATCGTTTGCTATTTAACTCCCTTTTTATATATTAAATTCTTAATTTTACCTGAAACAGCAATAACTTTATTAACTGTTACAGTTATTAGACTTCCTTGAACTTAGATTTATCAGAAAGTTTTAGCTAACCTTTTCTATGTTTTCTCCTGAAAATAGCCTTCTCTAATTAGTCTTTGAGTGTTTTATTATTTATGATTTAAGTTTTCATATTCAAAATTTCTAAGTGCTTCATTATGGTCTGATCATCTGTCGAATAATTTTTATTTACCTAAGAACTGTATTCTCAAAATTTGTCTTGTTAAATAGATGTTCAAATTGCTATGCATATAATTATATAAAGTAAAAGTTGTGAATAAAAATTTTGATGTATAAAATATTATAAAAATAATTTAATATTTTACCATAATATATGCATATATATTTATGCATAATTTTCAAGTTTTGTGTGTAATGAATTATATCAGGTCAATTTAGCGAACTCGAAACACTTTTTAGCGAAACTTTTATCGCAAATGAATTTCAGAGCGAAGGTATTCGCGAAACTAATTCCTCCAAACATTTATAGCGAAGGCAATATCGCGAACTCATTATAGCTAATATATTTCCGCGAACACTGCATACAATTTAGAGCTAATACATTTAGCGAAACTTTTATCGCGATTTATAGCGAATTTTTACTGCTAATGTATTTGCGAGAAAGAAAGATAGGAGTCAAAGCAATATTTTTGATCGATAGAAAAACGGAGCAACCAAAAACATATAAAACCAACTCGACCGTTGACATTTCACTAGACCTTTTATTTACCCCATTTGTCGCTTCGAAACGAATCATTAAATATAATTTTCGATAATTTCAACCCAAATTGTCAGTTCTCAAATTAACAGAAATAATATAAAATTTAAAGATTTTGAAATAAATTTTAAACTAGGTAATAGATCTGATTATTAATTGGCTCGTTAAATATTACAAAAATTGCGAAACATCGTGTCAATATAGACGATTATTTAAAGGAAAGCTGTTTAAAGATTATTGTCAAACACTCGTTAAAACGCTCAATGTCTTAACATACGTTCAGTAATTACATTTAAATTATATTATGCATGATATTATTCATTTTGAAATTTATTCAAAAAGCTTTAAAATAAAATATTTTATTTGATAATTTTTTTTTACTATACAAATTATGACATGGTGATTATATTAAAACGATAATTCTTGTTTAATCTAAAGAATTTACAATGAGTACTTATTCCTGAAACACAAATATCTGCTATTTTTTAATAAATTTAAAATTACTTTATATAAAAAATATGTTTTAAAATAAAAATAAATCAGATCATTATATTTAATAAAAGCTTACTGTCCAAATTGGTCCTCTATTAAGTATTTATATACAAGAAATTTATTTTCATATTTGAATATTTATTATTTATTGAAATACTATATTTTTTTTAAACGGTATTTACAGGATTAATAACTCAAACGAACCTACAACAGATGACTCAATATACAACTATAACAATAAAAATGAAATCAAACGCGAAGGGGTTGATCTAAACATATTTTATTATCAAAAATTAATGATATTTTTAATCCATTTGGTTAACTATAATCCAAATAATAATCGTGACTCCTTAGATGTTCTACATGTTTTAAAATCTCTTGACAGTCTTCATAAATACGATGTAAATGTTTACCTAAAGATTAATCTTCTGGCTGTTTACACAATTAAAAATGTATTTAAAGTAAGTTTATGATGATATATAATTCTTTAAAATCAGGCATATTATATGAAAATCTAAGTAGAGAGATCAAGGGAAAAAATATGAAATATCCCGATGGTTAAGATTTTTTAGGACTAACGAACGAGTATTATGTGATACTTATTAAAAACAATTGTTAAATAATAATTTATCAAAGAATATGATTCTTAACAACGATCCTAAAATTGCTTCGGAAGTTCGCACGTCAATCTTAAAGAACGTTTTAGAGGAATCTTTAAAATCAATCCGTTCGCCAGTTCAGACAGCCATTTATTACGGTACTTGCAAGGATGGGATAATTAAAAAATTTTATAATCAAAGTCCCTTTAGATTTATTAAATATTATATAATCTTATAAAATTAGTTATATGTATAAAAATTACAATAAAAAATAAATACAGTGTTGTTTGCTCCTTTTTAAAAAGATCTAGCTCCCGCTTTCGCTACTGAATTTTTAAAAAGAGCCCGCTCCCTCTTCAAAATATAAAAAAGAGCGTTGCATCTTAGCCGCTCTTTTGAATTTAATTTTTATTATATAAATAGTTAGGAAGAAGCCTTATTTTAATTTTAATAATTTAGCTATAACTTGTCTAATTTGGTATTTCAATATTTTGAGCGATACAATTTTAATAAAATTATTATAAATGAAAACAATATTATATATATATGACTATGAGTATCAATTAAATTATATTTAATTTTATGGGTCATTCAATTTCAACTATTTCAAACCCAACGATGCCCAAATTAAAGAAGTGCCTACTTTTAATTTATAAATCTAAAAATAACTATTTCTGTTTTAAAATATCAACCTTTTTTCACAAATAAAAATTTATTCTAATAAATTGATTAATTATTTATTATTTGTTTAATAGTCATAAAACTTAGTACCTTACCTTCATAGCACACGTCTTGTTTTTATTGTAAAATTAAAGAATTATGAAAATTTTCACAAGTTTTTTTAAATTTTTAAATATATCCCGTTTTTATCGTAAAATTAATGAATTATGATAAAAATTCAGACGATCATTTATTATTTTTTTAATAAAAAAAACAATTAAAATTACGCCAATTGAACGAAAAAAGTATGCAATTCTTAAAACTTTTGAGTAATGAAACTGAATTATTATTACAAAAAAAATTGCCACCAATATGCAGACAATTTTTTATAAAAAAAATTTCCCCGTGATTCAGTGAGTTACCCTTCTTTGTATATAAATTTTTTTTTAGGAATTCTTTTGTGAATTTTTATAAATAAACGGAATTTTAATATGAGAATTATCATATTCGTAATTTTTTAAAATTTTACACCATAGGGTAAAAATATAATTTATATTGTAAAGATATTAAATTATAAATTTAATGAAGATGTTCCTTGGAAAAATGACAATTATTATAATCGGTATTTTTAAACATTTTATTTTTTTTGACGCTAATGGGCAAAAATAGTATTTTTAACATGTTAAATTAAAATTTCAATTAAGATGTACCATATGAAAATGACAATTGTCATAATCGTTATTTTTATAATTTTTTAAATTTTTTGACGTAAATGGGCGAAAATAAGTATTGCTAACATGATAAAATAAAACTATAGTGAAGATGTATCTTAGATACGTGATAATTGTTATGATCATTATTTTTAAAGTTTTAATGGGTAAAAATATAAATTGCTAACATGTTAAAATAAAATTTCGGTGAAGATGAACCATACATAAGTGATGTCATAATCGTTATTTTTAAAGTTTTTTGAATTTTTTTGACGTCAATAAGTAGAAATATAGATTTTAAGTTAAATTAAAAATTTAGTAATGATGTACCATAGATAAGTGACAATTATCATAATCTTTATTTTTGAATTTTTTTGACGCAAATGGGTAATATATCAACCTGTTAAATATTTAGTGATGATGTACCATAGATAAGTGACAATTATCATAATCGTTATTTTTAAAGTTTTTATTTTTTGACTTAAATGGGCTAAAATAAGTATTGCTAACGTGTTTAAATAAAACTTTATTGAAGATGTACCCTAGATAAGTGACAATTGTCATAATCGTTATTTTTTGAATTTTTTGACGCAAATGGGTTAGAATATAGATTGTAAAAATGTCAAATCGTTATTTAACTTTATTATTTTTTTTGAGAAATGTGTTGGTACCATATGGCGAAACAAATTAAATGGAAATTTTATGTCATAATTGCCCCTTTTATCCTTCTTAAAATTTGATAAAAATACGCAAAGTGATTACTAAAGAGAGTTGTAACTCATGTTAAATTCTAAACTTCTAATATATGGATTCACAATCTTATTCCTTTATTTAATAAATTTTAATTCTACATCTATTATAATGTAAAACCCTGAATTCATAGTTAGCCAAAATTTTGTGTACTCACGGCGAAATCGTGCTGAGTCTTCAGAGTAAGATTTTTTTGAAAACTTAAAACCATATTAATATTATTTTTTAATATGATACAATCAACATCCTATAAATTTTATCTTAAGATTTTGAATTTTATAAACCTACAATCTATATTTTATAACCCATTTGAGTCAAAAAAACTTTAAAAATAACGATTATGATAATTGTCACTTATCAATGGTACATCTTCACTAAATTTTTAATTAAACATGTTAGCAATCTATATTTTTGCGTCAAAAAAAATCAAAAAACGTTAAAAATAACGATTATGACAATTATCACTTATCTAGGAAACTTCTTCATTGAAGTTTTATTTAAACATATTAGCAATACTTATTTTAAACCATTTTCGTCTAAAAAAACTTTAATAATAACGATTATGATAATTTTTTCTATGGTACATCTTAATTTAAATTTTAATTTAACATGTTAAAATACATATTTTTGCCCATTAGAAAATAAATTTAATATGTTTATAAATACCAATTATAATAATTGTCATTTTTCCAAGGAACATCTTTACAATATAAATTATATTTTTACCCTTTTGTGTCAAAAAATCTTAAAAAATTACGAATATGACAATTGTCACATTAAAATATTATCATTAAAAATATCATATAAAATAACATAAAAGAGTTTAATATAAATATTTTAAAAAAATCACCTCTTTATATATTTAAAAAAATTCATAATTTTACAAAAATGATTAAAAAAATTATAAAAGATTTCACCTAAAAGATTGTTTATTTATAATAAAATTCACAAAGAATTCCTCAAAAAAGATTTATTTAAAAAGAAGATTTAAAATTTTTATCAAATCAAAATATGTTCAAAAAATATTTTTTGCTTAAAATTTTGGCGTGAAAATCACTAATAAATTGTAACAAAAATAATATTACAATAGCAGCATATCATTTTTTTTATTAAAAAAACATAAAATAAATAAATCTATTTTCTTTATATCTTCATTTCATAATATGATAATAATTTAAATAAAAAATATTAAATCATATAAATATGTTTATTTGTTGATAATGGGCCATTCCACGTCAAATCGATCACGATTCGGCCGACCCCTTTTAAAATTGTTAAAAATTTCTGGAATTATTTAGATAGGTAAAAGAGTGAGAAAGCCGTTTATTTTAGCTCGCTAGCACACCTGGTTCTCGAGATATAGGGGCTCAAAGGTACAAAAAAGAGCCACTTTGGAATCTGTAAAATTTTTAAAATGCTTATATCTCAAAAACTATTTATAGTAAAAAATATTATAATATATCATTTTGTAGGTAAAGAAATTCTCTAATGGGCTAACAAAGAATAATAAATTTTGGCGCCTTTATAGGCTTTTAACATCCGGTTTACCTAAATTGCTTTACCTGTATTTTTAAGCAAAATAGAGTTTGTTTTTGAATTTTTTTTATTTAGACACCTTTGTTAAATATATATACAATATCGCTATCGACTCCAAAAATTGATAAAAAAAATAGATGGCGTTCTATGAAATTACGGATTATGGTTAAAATTTTGCTGTTAACTTATCAATAACCAGATATTTTCACTTTTTATACTAAAATAATTTGATTTTCTATTAAATATACTAATTAACTGAGGAGCAGAGTGGGCATATGCCCATTAGACACTTAATAATGTCACAAATTTCCAATAATAAATATCTTTCATATAATTTTTTTAATTTTTAAGGTATCTATAATTTCATCGAATTTTTCATCATTTGATGAAGATAATGGTATAATTTTAGTCGTTAAAACTTTTTTTTACTCTAGATATATTTTTCTTCGAATATTTCTTTTCACATAGGCGTTTTCTTTTAATGAGGGATTCCCCATTTGATTTTAGGGATATATTAATGTTATCAATAGCCTCTTGATTAATTATATGAAGGGGAGAATCAATATCTACATTGTCATTTGAAGTATAAGGAATGTTTGCTAATTTCTGTCGCCATGAAGAGCATATTAACATATCTAAATTGAATGGTAAATTTTTTTTAGGTCATTCAGGGTAGAATCTTTCTTAGATTCTCGCGATAATAAGCATGTCTCTGTAGATTAAATGGGTTGCAACATTTTAATATTTGGTAGGTCCATCTGTGATATAGAATAAAATTTTAATTGATCTACACCTAGAATACACGTTTTTGCACTCTCCAAATCCTGATTGTTATTGGTAGACAGACGATAAAATTAATCTGAACGGACAGGTTAAAATTATTTAGCAGAAAGAGAGATCGTTTTAAACAATTTATTTTGTAAAATATAATCGAATATATGCCCAATAAAATATTCGTTTTTACTGCAGTTGTTATATATTATCGAGCTAATAAGCATTCGCTCGCTAAAAGTAGAGATCTAAAAAATGTAGAACTAATGATAGTGGGAGGGGGCGGTGAGGGCAGAACTGGAAAATTTTATCACAATTCTTATAAACATATCAATATTTTTATTTTCCTTAAGAATAATATTTTCAACCATTAGCGCCATCTATTTTTTTCTTCAATTTTTGGTAAAAATGTATATTATGGAAAAGTCGATAGCCGCCAAGGTTTTGACATCGTATATATATTTATAAAAGGTGTCTAAATAAAAAGCAAAAAAAATTTCGAAAACAAACTCACTATTTTGCTTAAAAATACAGGTAAAGCAATTTAGGTAAACCGGATGTTAAAAGCCTATAATGGCGCCAATATTTATTATTCTTTGTTAGCCCATTAGAGAATTTCTTTACCTACAAAATTATATATTATAATATCTTTTTCTATAAACAATTTTTGAGATATAAGCATTTTAAAAATTTTACAGATTTTAAAGTGGCTCTTTTATGTACCTTTGAGCCCCTATATCTCGAGAACCAGGTGTGCTAGCGAGCTAAAATAAACGGCTTTCTCATTCTTTTACCTATCTAAATAATTCCAGAAATTTTTAACAATTTAAAAATGGGTCGGCCGAAAAGTGCCTTTTTTGATCGATTTGACGTGGAATGGCCCTAATAATAAATTATTTTACTAAAAATAAAAAAATAATAATTTATGCTAGGCATATCTTACGGAATTCTGACGGACGATTAGTCGATGCAAAATTTTCGACTAATTTAGGTTTAGCCTATATTTAGGCTAAGCCTAACTTAGGCGTAGTTTTTAGTCGATTACTTAACACTATATATAAGCACACAAAACAAAATTATATTTTTATCTATATATTTTACTTAAAAAAATTATGCATCAAATTTTTTTATAATCTCTTATTTGCTTCTAAAAGTAGCAAATTTTCTAAATTTGAATCTGAGCCACAACGCCTTTCGCTTAAACCGGTTTAGTCTACTAAAGAAGAGCTGGAAAGAGATATTGTATTTATTGTGGTCTTGTTTGTTAAAAAAAATTTGTTTAGTATATTATATTGCTGATGCAGATAATTATTTGATTGAATCCAAAAAAATCTTCTAAATTATTAGAGGCTATTTTCGGTGTAATTATAAGTATTTTTATATTAGGGTTAATCCATTACAAATCAGCCAGTGTTTCAGGCGACCATCTCAAAAATAAATGAAACTTGGCATGGTAGTTATATATGTTGTAAATTTTAATAAGATCAACCAGATCCAAATATATACGCCTTTAAAGTCAAAAAAATGTGTGATTTCATTAAATCTTATTTAAAAAAAATTACTTAGACTGAACAAATTATATAACATTTTATAGCCCTTGTTCTACATTGGAAAATATCAAAAAAAAATTAAAAATGTTTACATATTTCTGACAAAAATAAAAAATTAGCATTGTTGAGAAGGGAATTTTTTGAATGCTGATATTCGTCAGGAATGTTTATTACCTTTATTATTTTGATCAATTCTTTTTTTAATTTTTATAAATTAAAAAATATAATAACAATTTTCCTTTTTTGAATGGGAATTTTTTTTTGATTGGACCTTCTCCTTATCATAACTTTCTTCTCTGTTGATAAGGATATCATCGATATCCACAATTTGAGAATCTTCATCTATTTCAGAACTAACTTATTTTCAAACATTCAACCTCTTTTAGAGGAGAAAATATTTTTTATAAGATGGAATATTTCATACATTTTAATATCTTCTGTATTTGTCAATAACATATTATGGTCTTTTATAATTTTTATGTTTTATAAGTTGAGTTTAAAAAATGGGTAAAACATAAATATCAACCCGGCTCAACATTTAATTAATTAGTTTTTGTAAATTTAAATAAATATTATATATAATATTTTTATTGTTTAACAAATACATTAATTAAAATTATTTTTTAAACAATTTGTGCAATAAAATTAATCCGAAAAAAGAGCTAGCTGCTTCTCCCGATTTTTGAAAAAATAGCGGAGATCCAGATTTTTTTTAAAAATTGTAGCCCGAGTAGCACTCACTAACAATTCTGGTTAAATAAAATTTGAGAAATATAATTTTAAACTTTGAAATTAATATATTTATTTTTATTACACAGATGTTCTGGACTTTATCGTAACATCATACCTTCCTTACCTATCCAAATATGATTTATCGCATGCTTCTTTAGATAAATCTAAAAACTCTCAAGTTAATACGAATGTCAATGTAGGAGGTATAATGTCTAACAAGCAAAACGAATATTATTACAAAAAGGAAGTGTTTCATTTGGTTACAGCTATTAAAGAGTATATTGCAACATTTATGGTTAAATATAGTTGCATAGATGCAGACCTTATTGATACGGTCATAATATCCAGGTTAATGTGTTCGATTATGCCTCTCATTACTATACCATCTGCTCGCGTTAAAGAAACATGTCTTTTAGTCTTCAGAAAGGCTCTCTTTTCTAGGTTCATACATTTGAGTATTTTTTATATATCACAGGAATTACTTGTTTTCACCGAATAACAAAATATATAATAAATAAAATTGTTTACTAGTATTTAACTTACTTTCTTTAATTCTAACCGGGTTCGAGCCCAAATTTTTAAAATTATATAATTGTAAATATAAATAAATTTATTTACTCATATATAAATAAATAGAATTTAAAATGGCCTTAATCAGGACAAAGCAGGATTACAAAATATTATTTTATATTCTTATTACAGACAGTTACAATGGCGAAAGATTGCTGTTATTGGATTTTGTGAATTATTAAAGCATTTAAAAATCATCACCGAATTGTCGTTCACTCAAATTATTACGAATTCTATTGAAATGAGCCAAGTTGATACATTTAACATTTTTATAGTTTTATTTTTTTATACCTAAAATGTTAATAAACACGCCTATATGTTGTTATTTCATTATTTATATACATAGGTTTGGTGTGCTTCTAAAAACAGTTCTCAAGATAACGAGCAAATTTGCATTGAAATATTGCGTTGTCTTAAAAGATTTCTAAGGCAAAATGGTAAAATAATTACTAATTTCTAGATCATAGATATGTAAATAAGGTTATGATTTAAATGCTATATTTAAAAAAAATAAATTTGCTATGCTTAACCCTTTAGGTTCCCTCATAAAATTAATATGTTGCAACACGATATTTAGTAATTTTTTTATTGATTCTAGTATAATATAATATAAAACACACAAAAAAAGTTTTTTAAATTCAAAATGGCGGCTCTCCCTGGTGGTTTCAAATTCATATCATTGACACCTTATGGAAACTTTCGAAACAGTTTCTATTTTTATTTAGACATAGTGGTACGTTGCATGATCTGCACGACCACCTTGTTCTTCTGGGATTTAACTTTGTACTACAGAAGGTACACCTTCTTGAGGTTCCTGCCTGAGGTTGATGAGCTGAGTTTTTTAGTCTAATTTCTGGAAGGATATAAGCTTTATTATTTTTTCTTTGCATTGATATATAATTATTATCATTATGAATATTATCATCCCTATTAACATTTTTACAGTATGCCAATTCGCTAGCAATTATTTGTCTTCGGAATTCTTTCGATGAGAGTTTATTATCTGTAAGAATATTGTATATTATGAATGAATTGATAATCGCCGCATCTATCAGCCAAAAAAATATTGGTAGTCACCATTTTCGCCACTTTCGCGAAATTTCATATAAAGACTTGAAATGGTCAACAGACCCCATATATTTATTATACATCTTTATCATTATTGGACATTTTACGTCAAATACTTCCCCTTTTTTATTTTTTCTCTTCATAGTATCCACTGATCTCGGATCAATATAATTGGGCATTATAAATACGTCACGATTATCTCGCCATTTAATTATACTTATATTATTTTTGTCACTTCTCCAGTCAAACTCACCTCTTTTTAATTTTGTTTCCATATTCTTTATGGGCAAGTATCTCCTATTTTTGTTTAGTGTTCCGGTAGCATATATACCTTTCTTTTTTAAATCGATCAATTTCAATTTGATAAGGTGTATCCGATTCATAATCATCACTATCAATTTGGTAACGTGTATCCGATTCATAATCATCTTCGGAATCAGTGGATGAGTTGTCTAACGAAGAACCTTCAGATGGAATGTCCAGATAATCATCCATATATATAACAAGCTAAAATTATTGCGAAATGAGTTGGCAAAATTTATCAATTATTTAAAAAAATAAATATTAAAAATATTGTTGTTAAGTGGCAGTGGTTAGTTTAATATACCACATTAAAGAGATCAAAATAATATATAAATATTATTTATTTGAGCAAAAATAAATATTAGAAAGATAGATAAAATAGTGAGGAATATATACATTTAAAAATATTTGATAAATATACTTACTTATAATTAAAATTGGAATTTTAAGAAAAATCATCGTAAAAAACGTATTTTGAAATAAAGGCGCGAAAAAAAAAATTAAAAAATAACTCCTCCACAAACATATGAAAAAGAATATCTTTTAATATATATTCGTGGTGGTTTCATTTTATATGATTAACTCCTTTAGAAGATATAAAGGTTAAAAGGTGGTTTTATATTTGCACTACCGCGACCGAAAGGGTTAAAATGAATGAATGCTTTATTAAATTAGTAGATGATATGATATAAATAACAATGTTAGTTTCTTTTATGTCTTTAATATGCTGAACATATTAATGGTATAGGACTGAATAAAGGTATCACGACAATTTGGTGAAGGTCACGGTCCGGACTGGACCGATATCATCGGACCGGACCGGACCACGGTCCTTAAAAAAAACTATCCAGACCGTGGTCCTAAATAAAAGACCGGTCGGACCGGTCTTTTTATTTGTTTAAAAAACATATTTTTTTTAACCTAATTTAATTTATTTTATCATTTTATTAAATATAAGAGTATTATATAAACAATAAAATTTATCCAATGGTATTGAAGAAAGTGATTTTGTGCTTGCGGAGGGCATATTAAAATTAAGAGTAGATTGTGTTTTTGTGATATTTTCATTTTCATCATTAGAAATATATATTTTATGTTTTATCAGATGTCTGCTTAAGGTACCTAATTATTTTATTAAGAATAAGGTTAAGTTATTTTGACAATGAATTATTCAGACAGTTTCTTAAGAAAAAATAGAACTATATAAATAATAACCAACATATTTTAATAATAATACTGCTTATTTTGATTAATTTGTTGCTTAAAAAATTATAAACAATTATTTTGTTACTTGTTGCTGACGATACATTAAATTTGGTACTGCAGTGAATACATACTCTGTGTTTTTTATTGTGACTATAAGTAAAATGTTTCTTGGACAAACTTATGGTTTTTATATCGTAAAATAAAAATTAACAAAATCTAAAATAACTCATCTAGAAAAATATCATAAAATAAAATATACAAAAAAATCATATTATTTGAATAGTAAAGCAAACTTAAATAATAATAAAAGACCGGTTTGGACCGTGGTCTGGACCGCAAAAGAAAAAAAGACCGGTCCGGACCACGGTCCTCAAAAAAGATCAGTCCGGTCCCGGTCTAAGACCGATAGGACCGGACTTAGTGAAGATAATTTCGCGCATTTTATTCAAAATATTTTAAGAAAATCTTTATAAATTGAAAATAAATATTTTATTATCAAAAATCGGTTCCAAACTATGTTTATATAAATAGATATTTAAGTGAAAGTAATATTTAAATAATATAATATCTTAAAGTCATATTTTTCTAATTATTGAATATAATAAGTTTTATAAATTTATATCTGACTTAAAGAAAAATATTTATGAGGGAGGGGGGTGGGGTATATTTGTAAATATATTCTATTTAATGTGTAACGAGGTTTTTGAAAGTATAAAATATTTAACATTTGGATTTAATTTTTTTAAAATGCAATTTTACATAATGACCAATCTATAGTTATTTACGCTTTACTTTATAATAAAAAATAATACAGATGTTACCGTAAAATGTATCATATATGATTACACAAAAGAGATTTGTGACAAAAATCCTGCTATGCTAAGATTAATGCTAGAGTGCCTTTATGAACACTTTGCAGAATTTCTCAATAATTCACAAGATCCAGTTATATTAAAAATCGAAAAATGCATTAAATATGATAATGGTAAATTAATATTGATTAATATTTGTTTTTAAAAGTAAATTTGAAAACATAAATGAAACTAGAGGTCTGCTAAACCCATCCGTGATCAACTCTGATTACTATAAATAATTTTTATATTAAGTTGGTTCAATTTAGGAATTTTTTACTTGGGTTGGGTTAGGTTGTTTTCTTTGGAAAAATCTTTATTAATTGAATTTAATCAGTGATATATCATGGTTTGATTTGGCTGACCCCTTTCAATATATCCAAGGGATAAAGACAATGAATTTTACTATCATTGCTTCTCTCAAGATTGCGGGAATATTCAGATTCGATCTTGATGGCCCCTGCAACGGTATACACTTTAGAAACTTTGTAAATGAAATACTAAATCATTTGAAGAAGTTAATATGATGAATATGATCTTTGTGATGGATCATGTTCCATTTCATCATAAATACAATCAGAGAATCGATAGAAAGAAGTCCGTATCTTAATCCCATTGAAAATGTTTTATCAATGGAAGGATTTTGTCAAAAATTATAATCCTAATAACCAGAAAGAATTAATTCGTTTTATAGAACATGGAGAGAGAGAAATATCTGAGGATAAGGCAAAAAATTATTTTATAAATATGGAGACCTATATTCCAAAATGTAGAAGAAGGGAAAAGATTAATATAATTGTTTCTTACTATATATACATCGTAATTGTAATAAAATAATTTGATATGCAAAAAATACTAATAAATTTTTTTTATCTACCAGTGAGAAATAAAAATTAAGTGAAAACCTCTCGAACGTTGCACTGCCCTTGAGCTACCACTCTGTTTCACAGAGAGCAAAACGTTGGCATGTCGCATCACAGAGCCTAATATTTGGGATGCGATTACGATTAGGGTTAAGAATTGTGAAAATAAAAATATATAGGTTAATGTGTTCGATTATGCCTCACATTACTATACCATATGCTCGCGTTAAAGAAACATGTCTTTTCTCATTTTTTTATAAAATAATGGTCGGCCCTGAACATAAATGTATGTATGAAGTATGGTAAACATTTATAAAAAATAATACAAAATTTTATAATGCCGAGTCAGATATAAAAAAATAAGCGGAATGAGTTAATATATAAGCAAAAATTACTGTTCCTTTAATAGGCAAAACAAAATAAATTTGACGATTTTAGAGAACTTAGTCATAGTCATAAACATTTTTAAATTCTTGAGGGGGGGGGGCTCATAAACTCCCAACTAGACTCTTGGAGGGGAAAAATATTTAAATAAATTGATAGATATAGAATGCTTATATAGGTTTAAATATCACTTTTAAGTAACTCAAAATGATGTATTTTAAAAGTCAAATGAGACATGTCGGTAGGCAATGACAATTATTAAAAAAATACTAGGTATGAGATAAAGATGTATCAATTTTATTGGTTTCATTTTTTTCTCATTCTTTTAATATTTTCATTTTTCTTCTTATTCCTTTAAAATGGGACCATAAGGAACAAAGGTTAAATAAAGTGTCTTAGAGCAAGACAATACATAATTGGTTTGTCTCAAGATCAAAAATAAGAGGCTGGCAGTTCTTTATACACACTTGATAATAATATCTCTACTGAAGAGGATATTATACTATGTATATTAGATTCCAGTAATCCTGATAAAGTAGGTAGGGAGTAAGACATCAAATAGAAAGTTGCGTAAAATTTATTTTATTTATTTAAAAATTTTAACGACTGAATCTAATAAATTTTACATCTATATATATGTTATAAAATTCAATTTAACGATTTATTTAATCGGTTAATATAAAATAACAATCATTTAAACGACCAAAGAATTAAGAAACTATTAAGTTAATATAATGTAAAGTAAAAGAAATAATAAAATCAATCCGTAAGGTAAATATTAAGTAAGTTAATATATCGTAAAATCAAAAAATAAAATCAGTACGTAAGGTAAATATTGAGGTAATAGACAGTGAAAAAGAAATAATAAAAATCAGTTTGATTATATTAACATTCCACCCTTTAAACAAAAAACCCCGCCCAAGTTCCCCTTGGACGTGAATCTGTTATGTTTAAAATGTAATCTTCGCATTATACGGGTAATGTTCTCTTTCTACTAGGACTTGAAACGTTAGTCATACAATTTTTTTCTGGGCCGATAACATTTCCCCTTTTGTAAAATATACCCGTTGGTAAAGTGTTTTGTTCATGCATAAGAATTTTTCAGTGGTAAATCATTTTCTAAGTTGGTCTAAATGCCCTTAATACACAATTTTTTGTGTCGATTTGGTATATACTTTCTTTCTTTACAATAACGCCTTTATCCCATTTATTTACTCCAAAAGTTTTGTACCAAATTTTTTCTCCAATATCCATAGTTAATTTTTTGGTAAAGTTGTGAGCAAAATGTTGTCGTCTTTTTTGTACTTTAATAAATCCCAATTAGTTCTCATATCGTGATTGAACATAAGTTTTCTTGGGGGAATGCATGTCGTGCTGTTAGGTGTGTTTCGGTAGTTGATAAAAAATTTTAAGAGCGATGTTTAAATCTATATTACTTTGCTCCATACACTTTTTCATGTTTGATTTGAAAGTTTCACCATCCTTTCAACTTGCCCATTTGACTGCTGGTGGTGGGCTGAAGTCTGAAAGTGATGTATGTCGTGGTCTCTACAAAATTTTTTGATGACTTTGAGCCATTGTCTGAGACTATTTGTTCTGGAATACCGAATAAGCTAATTGTTTTGTTTCGAGTCTTAGCAGACTGCTTAGTGCATAAAGATTGTAATTTAGCAAAGAGGTCATCTGGTAAATTGTGGAGTAAGGTAGTGTGGCATTATCGTCATCTTTACTATTATTATTCTTGAAAATAAGTTCAATTTTAGTTATATATGCATGGAAACTCACATTCATATAATACAGTATCATTAGAAAAAGTGGGTTTATTATGATCCACCATATAAGTAATTATGAAAAATTTTTTTTCTTTATTATATATTTTTTAGAAAAAAGAAATAATTAATATGAAATTCATCTTTATGTATTAATAAAATATTAATTTGAAAAAGATAGCAGCTGCCACCATGTTAAGGTAGGCAGGGAGTAAGACATCAAATCGAAAGCTGCGTAAATTTTTTTTTTATACTTATTTATAAATTTTACATCTACATAATTCAATTTAACAATTTATTTAATCGTTAATATAACAATCATTTAAACGACCAAGGTATTAAGAAACTATTAAGTTAATATAATGTAAAATAAAAGAAATAATAAAATCAGTCCGTAAGGTAAATATTAAGTTAATAGACAGTGAAAAGAAATAATAAAAATCAGTTCCGAATATATTAACAAATCCTAATAAAATAATATCCCAAAAAATATAAATAAAACCATTCTATATACGTTTAAAGAAAATACCAATATAATAATGTATCAGGCACATCTTTAATTAAAAATTTTTTCTTGACAATGTACAAACAAAATTAAACGCAACTTTATAGTGCTTTGGCATTAGCTACTATTTTTATGTCAAATTGCCCTTTTCATTTTGTTGAAAATAAATATTTTATCAATTTTTTAAAATTAATACGCCCAGCCTATAAAATTCCATCTAGATATACAATTAGAAAAACATTATTAGATTTGAAATATATAAAGTGACAAATATTATCAACAACAAATACTCTAAAAGATTCTACTCTCATTAGCGATGGCTGGACAAACATTCTTGGAGAGTCCATCACTAGTTTCATAATTATGACCCCAGAACTCATTTTCTTTAAATCTATTTACACAAAATCTAGTGTTCACACTGGTGACTATATCGCATCTCAGCTGATAAAGGTAATTGAAGAAATTGGTAGTAAATACCTTTATTATTATATTTATTGCTGATCATATTGACTTTTGCCTTTGTTGGTAACGATAGATCAAATTTTATAGTCCATGAAAATTTAAATAGCGCTGCATCATTTGTTTTGTAACTAATAACGGAAGCCATTTTATTTTATCATCTAATTGAACTTTTACATAAGCTCTCCCATAATTTTTATTGTATTGTTTCCATATGTAATTAAAGCTCTAAGCATTTTAAGTTTTGGCTTCCTAATTTTATTCCATATTGTTGCATTAATAATGTTTACCTGAACCTGTATCATATTCCATTTTAATTTCGTGATTGTTTATTAATATAATTGTTGGGTGCTGTCCATATATGTAGACTAAACCTCATCGAACGGGAAGAAAAGTAGTAACTATAAATTACCATATATGTCCAAGCCAGGTTTCGGTGTAACGACCATTTTCAGGATTGAAATATATTTTGTTAGACGATATAATATGCGTTATTCATATTTTATATACATTTAAAATTGAAAATAAAATTCTGAGCAATGTTTTTTCTTTTTATTCTCTATTTATGATAAAAAGATTAAAATTATTTATTAAAAGACCGGAATTGTCCATAAAAAATTGAAGTGCTATAAAAAATAGACGAAGCATTTTTTCCAAAATATTTAAACGTAGTTTTGTTTTTTACATATATCTATCTCTAATGTAAAATAGTATTTAAAAAAAAAATCATTAAAATTTAAAAAATCGAAAATATAAGAATTATGAAAAACTCCCGGGGTGCCTATTATCCTTTCGCGTTGCATGTTATAGCGCTTCTTTATTTGTAGATTTTAAGAAATTTTTTATATAAAAATATTAATTGTAAGTAAATAATTAAAAATAAATTATCAAATATGTTTTATTAGGTTCATCTATATTATATATATAACACGGAAGAACTTGTTATCACTTAAAACTGTTATATAATTTACAAAAAATAAGTCAATCATCATTATATTGTCATTCATGGCCTTAGACAAACTAGTGGCTTCTAATATTTTTATAAATTTTGTTGGATTTTTTTATTCAAAATAATCCCTGCTGAAAAATAAATTGAAGAATCTTGGAGCAGTAAATATGGGAAGTGAATTTGTTGGCTTGCAAGCACAAATCAGGTAGCATTTATTAGGTGTTATAGCCATATTCTCATTTTATGTTAGTAATATATGTAATAGTCGAGGCTTATAGCGCTATCTAATAGACTTCTTTTTAAAAAAATGAATCAAATAAAAGGATGGTGATGTGGGTAAAAAAGTATGACTATCAAATAATAGGTTCAGAAAACTTAAAAGTTTTGAAAAATTGGTAAAACGAGATGGTGTGCATGAGAAACTATTTTTGTTTAATGACAAGATGTACTAATACCAACCACTAAAAATGTCTTACGTATCATATATAGCAACAATTTGAATCCAAAACCACTTAAGAATTTGAGGTTTTGTTAAATACAATATTCGAAAAATACTTATAAACAAGAAATTTAACAATCTAAATGCTTGGGAAATTGTTGAAGATGGTAAATCTTCTGTGAGTTTCATAGACTTCTTTTTAATACACATGAAAGCTATAATAGGCGATTTAACAATAAACTTAGCTATTTGATGGTACGTGAAAATATTTTTATGGAAACGGAAATACTATTACTGTAGCTTTAATCGTAAAAAAATGTCCTGAGGAATTTCCAGATATATGCCCAAATGATGCACTTAAAATCTACTGAATTGAAAGAAAGAAACCAGTTTTACCAAAAGATTTTTAATAAATCAACATCCTAACTGTTGTAGCTGTTGAAAAAAAGAAGAAATAAATTTAATATAATACATCAAATGTCAGTTATTTTCTGATAGGGGAATTAGTTTTTTTCCTGGTGGATGGGAGGAAAACGAAATTAACACATGGGTTGTTTTTAGAAAAGAACAATAAAAGTTTCTTTGTTTGCGATTTGGAGTGAAGAAGACATGATATTTGATGAAGACGGGATTGATTGGGGAAGATTTAATATGTTTAATATCTATAATGTTATATGTGCATAAATAAAGATGACTTGTAGTAATGTTTATTATATTTATATTATTATTAAAGGGATTGTTTTGGATTGATAATTATATATTTTTGAGAGGGAAGGGTTGAGAGTAAAGAGCTTTTGTTTTTTTTCAATACTAACGAATGCCTAATATATCTATCCTGGACTGGTTGTTGTAAGTATGACTGCAAAAGCTTTGTTTTGTTAATAAAAGTAGATCGCGAGAAGTTAGGAAAAGAACTAATTTATGGCAATTGACTTAATTTTTCATAGTATTTATAACATATGAAAAGAAATTCTATATGACAGAAAATTACAGTGGAGAATAGCTAGCCAACAAAACAAGGAGGAAGCAAGCATACATCTACACAAACCAATTACATATTATATTTTATTTTTTTACTTTATTTTAAATGAACTAACCTTCGGTTAACTAAAAATAATTAAAAATAGAGAGCTAGCCAATATTGATCATAATAATCTTTTTTAATGATGGCAGTTAAACTTGAATTATTAGAGAAAATTGAATTAAATGAAATTCTTTTGTGTAAATTCTCATACAAACGTTAAATGTATTAAATTATTTTTTTATGTTACGAACGCGTTCAATCGTTTTTTTGAAAAAAGGTGATGAACGGCGTTCCTTTTTTTTGACGAACTTTGAACGTGAACGCGTTCCTTTTCTTTGATGAACGCGTTCAATTTTAAAAACACTTTTTATTTTTATTTATTTGAAAAATTAATATTAATCCGCATTTTTTAACAAAAAAGTCTTATATTTTTATTTGAAAAATTAATATTTAATCCAATTTTTTAACAAAAAAGTCTTATATTTTTTAATCAGCTATTTTTCCTTTTTCATATTGCAATTAACGTACCATAGTGCTACTGCTAGAGAAGATAAGATTAAAGTTTATTAATTTGAATATTTTATATTTTAATTTAATAGATTAGCATTTGCATGGATATAAATATTTCATCATCAGATTCTGAAAATCAAAATTCAATATTAGATGAATTAGAATTACCATGGCCCAAATATCAAAAATATTTCACTGTTTTAAAATCAATTCCGAGATATCCTTTTTTTTGACGAGGAAGAAGAGGGCAGATTGGAGGATGATAACATAGCTCAATTTTATGAAACAATGGATAAAACATTAAATGTTTTAATAAATTCCCCCTTTTAAAAGAATTGTTTATCAAGTATAACACCGCAATCCCTTCATCTGCCTCTGTTGAGCGAGTTTTTAGTATAGCTAACGCTGTATTAACTGACAAGCGTTCATGCCTATCAGATGAAAATTTTGAAAAGCAATTATTATTAAAAATTAATAAGAAAAATTTATTTTTTTATCGCTCTATTATATTGTATTTATAATTATATTATCAAAATAAACTATTATTTTTTATCATGGCTAATATATTGTGTTGAAAAATATAAGGCATTTATTTATATTAAATTTAAAAAAAAATTTATCTTAAATTTTGAACGTATGAACGCGTTCCTTTTTTTGAATTTGAACGTGAACGCGTTCGATTTTTGTCAATAAACGTTGAACGGCAACGCGTTCGATTTTTTTAAAAATGTATACAGCACTAATTTTTTAGCATTATATTTTGTACATGTAAAAAATATATAAATAATAAATGGAATTTATATATAGTATAAGACTCAATAAACAATATAAAGTGTTAGTAAAATAAAGTAAACTAAATCCAACTATTTTTTGTGGGGGGGGGGGGGACTCGAATGTTTGTCCCAGTCTTTTCTACTCCAGTCCGCCCCTAGAGGAGGAGCTGCTATTTTTATCAGGGCTTAATTTATGCCGAATTGATGGTAAAGCAAAATATTGTCATGAATTACGAAGAGTTCGCGAAATTTAAAGTTGATAAATTCGTAATTTGACAAAAAATTAATACATATATATAAATATGATTGCGTTTATCTCGCTATCGCTTTTTTATCAATTTAATCATCGCAAACTCACAACGGCCACATTAAAAAAAATTGAAATTAGATCATTATTTATAATTCTATAGTTTTAGTGAGTCTTTAATTGAATTACAATCTATATCATAAAATAGGTTTTCATAAGTTGACACTTGATATCTACAAAAATATAAGAGCATTTATAAAAAAAAATTTTAAATCCTAAGGGGTCCCTCATAAATAATTATTTTTGATATATTTGATAGGGAATGATCCTAATTATATTTTTGCGTCGACCCTTTTATTAGCGGTTTTAATTTATTCTCGCGGTCTCATAAGCAAAATTCCCAATTAGTTATATGGCCAGTCACCTACATCTTGATAAAATTTGAAAAATTTATTAAGAAAGAAAGAAAGATCTTCTCTTTCTGCATCGTATCGCATGCATTTTAAAAATTAATTTATATCATTTATGTTTTATAAATATGGTTATCAAATAACAACTCTGGATTTATAAGGCATCGGAACACAAGTTATTTAGCTTTCAAGTTCTAAATATGAATTACCGGATGACCATAATATTGGTATTTTATAATAAGATAAATTTTCCTGGAGTTTATAGATCTATTATTCATTTATGGAGCCGGTAGTTTATCATGCTATTAGAATTACCGAAGAACGCATCGATAATTAATTATTTTCTTATAAATTATTCTATTCCATTTTATAGGGTTGTCTTTCTTACCTTCCTTGCTTAAAATTTATTATTATTACCATATGATTTTTAGATTTGTTAAATGAATTATATGCATGGACTGTATTTAAGCATTAGGAAGAATGGAAAATTTATCTTGTTGCCTAAGTTTCCTCTACCAAGACCAGATAATCTCAGATTTCTTTCTGATAAAGCTAGGAATAAAACGTTATAAGAGTCACAAGATTTACAAAAAAAATCAATTTATTTCATACCAAATCGCAGTGGTGCAATTTTTCTTCAAGATCTAATTTATAATATAACTAAGAATAAATGTTTTATCTACAGGCCAAAAATCCGGACCAAATATATGTTTCGAATAAAAATAAATATTTTATATCTTGATTTTGGGGCATTTTTTTACAAAAATGCTAAGGGGTTAAGTCGGTTTTTTAGAGATAAATTATAACGGAAAGAGTGGGATTCGAATGTTATTTGGGGATTAGAGGATAGTATATTAACCTTGGTCGATAAATAGCAAAAAAATATTAATAAATTTTAGCCTAATCATAGTACGAGATAGTGGTAGATTTATATTTAAACAAATTGACCTATATTACTTTCAATATGGCTATTTATAGATATAGGCAACTCAAAGATTTATACGGCTACGGGCTGGCAACTTGCGCAAAAAAATTATGAATCGACCCAGAGATTTTTTAAACTTTGAAAAATGCAAATTTATCATTTTTTCTTCTCGTAAAAAATTTTCGGACTAGTCATGTGTAATATTTTGACCTACTAAAAATATTACAGGCCAAATAATCCTTTTAAAAAGTAAGGTCATGCTGATCTCTAAAAAGAACTAGTTTACGCCAGAATTTATTTATTATTTTTGCTTTCGAAGTAAACAAACACTGAGCCAATAAAATTTATCCTTTACTATTTTAACAGATCGTTGCTCGATAATAGTAAATGATTCGCTCGGACATTTGACTCACTCATTACTTTTTTGTTTACTCAAGGCCCACAGGCTTACAAACCGCGCAAAAAATGTTCTACATGAAAATGATGATAATACTTTGGTGAACCAATCATCCTTTCAAATACGTTCATATCAATCATTAGTCGATAAAATTAATTTAGATTTTGAACGAATTGTTTTTAGTATGATCAAGTTAGAATTGGAAGATTTTGAAATTATAGATAGAACTGGGATTGATTACAGACATAAAATGGAAATCGGTATTTTTAAAAAGATGAGATCCTTATTGTTTTTTCTTCTTTTTTTTGAATATTAAACTAGTAAAAATAAATTTAAGTTTTTATATTTTAAATCATGGGAAATACTGTTAAAAAAATAGGATGCTTATGTTTTAAACAGAACTTTAACAATAAGCTAAATTTACACTTTTAAAGAAAATTATTTATTATTATTTGATTAAAACATAGAAATCCACATAGAATTTCAACATATTAAAGCCCTTATTGTATCTCAAATTTACGCATCCTTGATTCAATACGCTTTGGTCGTTGACATGCCTAACACAATTGATATTGTTACTACTAATAGGTTGCTAAAATGTTATTTTATTTTTAGATATTTATACAAATATGTAAGGATCCAAAAGATGTATATATTAAGTAAAATTTGATAATTCATTCTACCATTAATTATAATTAAAATAAAGATAGATAGTTAAATAATGTACTTAATAGTTAAATAATGTACTTACTTAAATTCCATCTATTTAAATGTTTATTAAATACGATTTATCTTAACATTCAAATTCACAAACATGAAAGAAAACAGATAAAACTTTGTTTACTTAAATTCAAATATGTATTATTATTTTTAATATTTTAAGTAATTTATCAACGTCATATCTTCAATATATCAAATATGAAAATGAAAACTGTGAAATGGCTATCAAACTGTTTTCCGTTTACCGCAAATTTTATGATGTTAGTGTAATCAACCCAGGACCAAAATTATTAACTAAAACTCTCACGACCTTCAAACTACCTTTCCATTTCCTTAATATCATTATGGAGGATTTATTATTGTGAGTATTATTTTTATGATAAATGAAAACTTTTACCATCGAGTCTAAAGATTCATATGGATAAAGAAATAAAAAAGTATTTAAATAATATAAAAGATTGACGAAGATGAATTAAGGAAAGAAAATTTTTAAATGTATAATTTATATTTTTAGAATGAATAACAAAGATCCGTTGATGATTCTGAAACGTGACGTTAATTTTGTGATTTTTATTTGCTCGAATTATTCACAATATTTCAAATCAAATTGTCATAAAATTTTAATTACACAAGATGCTTTTCAATCTATACTAAATATCTGTCGCTTCACTTTTTTTATTTGTCTAAACACTTATAATTATCCTAATATAGATTTAAATATTCCAAGTTCAAAACAAAATGATAATTGTATAGAAAATAAAAATAATCATCAACTTGAAAGCCAGAATTACAATAATAAAAAGCTTTATTGGACAAAACTAATATATGAAAATGTTAACAATATTGGTTCATCCATGTATTTAGCTTTTCTGGATGTGTTTATATCTGCTAGTGAATACCTTATTAGCAACTATAGTGATAAAATTTTAGAAATATTATCCAATTTAGGTAATTACAATTAATTTTATTTTTAACACTATAATTTATAATGCAAAGCTAGTATGGATGTCTACAAGGAATCGTCATCATCTATTCATGAAAACTGTTTGATATCTCAAATGAGTACCAAAGACATTGACTTTTCTCAGCTAAAGGAAAAAAGAGGCAAACTATGTCAAAATATTGCTAGTCAGATATTCGAAAATGGACTTAAAAACAATTTTTTAAGGCGAATAGTGAATTCAGGTACTGATCGTACTCGCAAAAACAGAGTTGTTAATACTGCCATTAAAAAAAGCATTAAAATGATGATAAAATTTTTAAATATCCTAAAGCTTCGCATATTTGATCTTCATCACGATGTTTGTTTTGAAAAGGTTTCCTTTTTTCTTATCTTTTATAAGCCACCCCCCCCCCCTTTAAATATTGTAAGAAATCATTTGTTTTACCGAATAGAACGATTTCTTTAAAAATGTTATTTTAGCTTTCTTAAATTTATACAGTTTATTTTATGGCAACATATTAAAAGTAATTAAATTGGTTTAACTACCTTATCTTTTATCTTTGATTAAACAATTTTCATTTATAAAGAAAATTTTTATCTAAAACTCTTATTAGGCGTTTATATTTTATAAATCTTATTTAATTTTTGTAATTTTTTCTTCTAGTTTTTAGATTACTATAGTGTGATTTTTTCCAGCGATGTTTTTCAATCAAATAATGATATGGCTTTAACGCAGTCTATAGTAACGCTTTATATAGAAGGAACTAAAATATTGCCTTCGCATTTCGATGTTCTAAAAGATTGGGTTAAAAAAATTTATTTGCTTTGTGGTGATATTAAAGATGTAAAATTAATGATAAGTGTACTTATATATTCAAATTTTGGAATAGGAATCTAAATCAAAGAATATTGAAGATAACGAGCTTCTTATTATAAATCCCGAAAATTGCTTAATTTTTTTTGGCATAATATTGAACAAGGCCTTATTACCTATGATAGAAACGATTGAAATTTTCATTCAAAACATAAAATCAGAATACATCCTTATCTTAGACATAGTAAATAATTAATTTACCAATGACTTTATCCTAAATTTATAAGAAAAACATTTATGCAAATATTCGATTCGTATTTTTAATCAAATAATTGAGTTATTTTAATTCTTCTAATATTCGATTCAATTAATAATATTTTCAAAAAATTTAAGGAGATGATTCATAAATGTGAAAAAAAGTAAAAATTTCTGCAAACATGTTAATAATAATTTCAAATATTTACAAATTATTATGAATAATTTTTTTAATTAATATTCGTAAAATACGAATCGAATAGCTTTTTTAAAATATATCGTGGAATTATTTTAAAAATATTTTAAGTGTTTAGATGATGAAAATGGGACCTCGTCCATAAGTTTACTCGATTACCAATTAACACTCAAATATTTAGCCAAAAATGAAAAGTTAGCTTCATCTCTTATCGGAAACTTAGCTGTTATAATATGTGATTTGGTCAAGATAGATTGTTGGGAAGCGCGATCCGCTAAAAAGCAAAGAGAGATGGCAAGTTCACAAAAACAAATTTTAATTCTAAACATAGTTTTGGGATTAGTAAAATGCTGCACTGAATTTTACAGAGTCCTGACATTCTTAGTTAAACATTTTTTAACTGTTTCGAAACCGATAACTGAATGCGAAAAGTCGCCACTTACTAATTCAACAAGTATTTGTGAAAGTTTACAAAACGAATCAACTGCTCGGTTCGAAAAATTGATTACTTTGATAAATGAGCTTGTTACACGAAATGTTTATGATTACTTATCACACGTTGTTAAAATAAATCGAGAAACCATCGCTATTAGTTATTCGAGCCACAAACAGATAAAATTTTCAAAATTGTGTATCGCGAAAAAAATTAAAATGGATGAGGTGTTAAAATATAACGAGAATGAAAATGATCTGGAAGAGCATTGTAATGGTACAGATTTACTGCTCAAGGATGAGCATAGTGAAGCATACGAAAATACGGCCAGTAAATCAAGTAATACAAGGTTAAAAAATGAGAATTTGTTAGCTTGCAAACTACAAAAGGCTGTTCCACCATTAATATTTCAAATCGAAGAGTTGGAAAAATTTCTTATGAAACTAAGTCGAAAAACGAAAAATCCTAGATTAATAGCAGCCATGAAAATGGGAACTTCCAGGGATTTTCGAATAAATTTTGATAAATCTGTAACGCAATAAAAGTTTGTTATAAAATAATTTATTAATATTTGATAAAATTTTACTATATTATATAAAAATTTATAAAAATCGTGATTGGTTAATATAATTTTTTTGGTGTTTAATTGGGTAAAAAATTTCTGTAATAAACAATTGGAGGAATGATTTGAAGTATTGAACCTAATAAATAGCAATAAGTTGGTCCGATGCTCCAGAATACTAAATATTATAAATAAAAATACATAAATTCATGTTAACTAAATAAATTTTTTACATTTAAATGGATATGTTAGTGCCAATGAGTTTTTTCCGGCAATATGTTATTTTTCATTAAATAATTTTTTGTGTGCGTTATTTTAAATTTAAAAATCGGATTTTACAGGAAGTGTATTCCATGATGTTAAGAATACCTATGAATTTCGGACAATTTTGCCACGAACTTCTAAATGTTAAAGATAGGTTTAACATGCTGGAATACATTGCCGGTAAATTCAGAATTCTAATTTTAAAAAACGTGCTCAAAAAATAACACATTGCGGTTGTATTATAATTTTGGCTTATTGAGATATCAATTTATAGGGTTGGCAAAAACCATGAAAATAAAAATACCATACTTTATTATCAATATTTAATATTTGCCCATTTTTGATAAATTTTTAATACATTCTGTATATAACATTAAAAAATAACTTAAATTAATAAAGTTTGAATATTATAATTTAACTAATATTTATATGGCGCATGAATTAATTTTCTTGTTATCGTATCAACTATCAAAATATTGAATTTAAATGAGGATGAAATAATTATAGAAATTTTATAGGTTAATTATCAAAAAAATATAATAATGCAAGACGGATTAACACAGTAATTATCTTTAATATTTAAATTTAGCAGTAAAATAGCTTATTATTTATAAATAGAAACTAATGATTATCTAAAATATAAAAAAAGAAGAGCATCGATTTAAATCATATTTTATCAAACAAATTAAAATCATGTAAGCCAATAAATTTAGATTTATATATTATTATAAAATCTTTGGATTTCCTAGAATTGGGGAAATTTACTTACAAAATGAAAAAAATAATGGTCCAATTGTTCTGGCTAATGCTCCTAATGATCGGTGAATGCCCATTACTACACCCTTTTGATTTTGTTTGCCTGAATATTTCAAATTATAAAATGTATTTATTTCTTGGAACGATTGGGTGATATCAATATTATAATAAATTTATATAATTATAACTACCATAATAAGATACGAGTGAAGTCAAGGTAGGAACAGCCATTGATGTAGCTTACGGGATATATAAAAATCATAAAATCTTTATTGCAGCAAAATATAATTATATGCAAATGTATATATTTTCTAATTCAATTACATAAGGAATATATGAGAAGACCGGTATAAAAGGTTAGTCTGTTATGACTCAATGCTATTATAACGTTAGCTGGGATGATCAATATAAGAGCCTATAAATCAATTGTACAATAATATAAGATATTACATATAACAACTGTTTATAGTATAAAAATAAATTGATTTGCTAAAATATTTTTTAAATCAAAGTTTGATTAAACCCAAAATTTTATAATTATTAAAGACGATGAATTATTGAGTTGAAAAATATTTATAAAACCCCCAAATAAAGAAAAACAAGTATATCTTGTTTTACCATTAAAGCGAATTTTTTTTCTTTACATGGCGGAACCTGGCGAAGAAAGCCACCTTTTAATTAAAATATAAACACTGATATATATGAAATAATATTACCTTGCACTATTACCATTACAAACCCGATAAAACAAAACATTTTACCTTGGTCCATGCTATATATATATTTTAATAAATTGAGGTAAAAATTGTAAGAGCAAATTATCTTAAATTAAATATTACCTGTTGTATTTAAAACGAAGGTGAGTAAAAAATGTTAGCGTAAATTCCATGCCAGAAAATAAAAGGAGATAGAGAAAATAAACACACCCTAGACTTTGCAGCTTGGATTTTTCTATTGAAATATATTGAATATACATACGACAAAAATTATAACATATTTTTTTGATAACTACAAGGAATTTAATAAAATAAAATTTACGTATAATAAATATGTTAAATGTAAAATTCAGAGAAGGCATTATCATGAAAACAATACATATTGGAGTTTTTAATTGTGAAGTTAAACTGATAACTTGGTTTTGTAAAGAATTTCTAAGTTATCAGTATACCTACAAAAATACAAATCGAATTAAATAATTGCATTATTCATATTCGGGCGGATCAAATAATTGCATTAATCGTATTCGGGCCAATCATATTGCATTATGCATTCGTTCAAATCAAATATTTCCATTATTCGTATTCATGTAAATTAAATAATTTTAATAAATTTCTTATTCAGATTCGAAAATTAAATTCTTTAAAATATTTTCAAAAATAAAAAAATGGATTATTAAAATTTAAAAAAGGATAAATTGATGTGGGAATAAAATAATAAGTTCCACAAGTAACATGATGACTTACGAATAATTTTAACTTAGAATATTTACAAATAAATTTAAATATTTTGGAATAATTCAATCGAGTAATGATAAAGTTATTATTCGACCAATAATTTTGCCATTATTCGTATTGTTTTGTATTTTTAAATACGAGCCCGATAGAATAATTTATTTTAGTAAATATTTATAGGCTACTAAATATGGGTTAGGTTAATCTAGACTAGATGGACGTCGGATTAATATTTATATTTTTGCGAAAAGGAATTTGATAAAGGCATTTACAGACGTGTCGAAGAACCGTTATAATTTTATCACCGATACTCGAAGAGAACCGACCAGTTATAAATCCGGGCAAAATTGGCCCATATAATTTGAAATATTTTTGTTTTTTTTAATAGAATAAATTTCATTAATTGGTTTTAATTCAATTTAAAAAATAATAATATAGTACAAATCTATGTTGTTAGGTTACTTAATTAGTTATTTTTAATTCTTATTGTTTTATTTAAAATAAAGAATTCAACATTTTTCTTTAATTTCTGTTCATATATTTAATATATTTTTATTAGAGATTAAATTAAAAAATAGATATCGCTGCTCAGTTGTTAAAAAATCGTGATCAAAGGAATTTGATCTTTATTTTGGTAAATTATTCGGATTGATTATTTTTTAATTTTTAAAATATAATATAATTTAAATAAAAATATCTATCTCCATCGTATTTTGGCTTCCACCATAATTTATATTTGGGCTGTGCCGATATTAAATATCGGATCAGCGAAAATATTTAGCGTTTATCAAAAATATCAGATCGGGTCGATGTAAAATAACCGATCCGATCTTTTTACTTTTCGTTTCTTTTGTTATTATATGTTATGTATATTTTTTTTTATCTATTATAGCAGGAACGAAAACCCGAACCCTTAATATTTCGCTGAACCTAAACCCACTTTTTTTAAAATTTAGAGTTCAGGGTTCAAGCTTTTTTTAATTCTAAAAAATATTTATTTTTTTTATTTAAACTTTAATTTTATTTATTTTAAATCATATATTAAAAATAATATAATATAAAAAACATGTAATTTACGATTTTTAATTTATAAAAGATTACTTAAAAATAGTTCTATTCAATTCAATTCTTTTTTTATTCAAAAAAATATTAAATTAAAAAAACATTTTTTGGTTATTTTTTTGTGTAATTATTTTTGTTATATATTTAATAATTTTTTAAATTGTTATTGTAGTTATAATTATGATGATAATTATTTTTATGACGATACTAATTAAAATAAATTTTTTTTAAAAACTATGTTTCTGTTATTTTAACTAATTTTAATAAGTCATTATTTCTCTGGTCTTCGAACCAGGGTTGCCAAATCTCCCCCATAAACGGGAAACTCCCGCTATTTTTTAGTTTATACGCAGACATCTCACTCCCGCAAAAATCTGCCGCAATTTTAAATGTCTCTCACAATATTTTTAAGCATTATAACGTTTTTGATTTTGAGAAACAGTAATTGATTATTTTTAAAATAAATTTTAAATATTTATTCAAAAAACATGTCTAGTTTGTATTTCTTTCTATTCTTACTCCAATCATGTTTTATTTTTATCCAATAATAAATCTACATCAATGTGTGTGTATAAAAATTATAGGGCTAGGCGTTTAATTATCACGTATAAATACATAATAAGGTAATATTGTACTTATTTCAATGATATTTATTATAGTTCAATCACATTATTATAATCAGTGCAGGGGAGTGTATCTACATTTGCAATACAAAAATATGCTCCAAAAATAAGAAATAATACAGTTGCAACTACAGTTGCGGAAATGGTATACACTTATCATAGTACAACATTCACAGAGCTACTTATCATCACAATGTGAGTGAATCTTTTCCCAATAATATTTAACGACGATAAGTGAATTGTGGTAGAACAAAAATAAGCAAGGCTATCACCAATGTTTTAGGACCTGAATCCAGGATGTCAATTCTTGAGGATTTGAAAGATGTACATCCATAGGCAATTCTAACAGATGCATATAAGAAGGGAAATATTAAAACATTTCCCTTCCTCCGCTATTTCAATAAAAATAAGGGCGTTTCAATAAAACGATTAAATAGACATAGCTAACCATATAATGGTAAATATAGCAGATTTGATATTATCAATGAGTTGCATGTCAGCTTTATGCGCTGATAATGCCTTAGTGAATTCAAAACCCAGAGTGTATTTACAGAATTGAGGCAGCCCAATGTTGACATAATGCCAATTGGCTGTATATACCATATACTAGATAATTCTTGCAAGGCAATGAATGTATTATCTGTGAATGTCGAAATAATTGTAATAAAATGTTTTAACGAATTTAGTTCATCAACTAAAATAGTTAATGAATTAAAAGAGTTGGTCTTGGTAAAGTGGTTTGACTTGTAATGGTGTGAGTTGTTGCGATATGTCCCTATCAGGTGGTTATCATTAATACCCGCCATCGATAGAATTTTAAAATTTTACGAACCTTTAAAAAATATTTCTTAAATAGAGATTGTTGCGTTTTAACTAGTTTATAATAATTATTATGTTTTTTTTATTCTAAGTGATATGTTTTTATATTACCATTTATATTTTTTTGTTTTATTTGTTCAATTAGAAGTGATGTGTTTTTCTCAAATTATCATTTATATCTTTTTTTGTTCACGTATACCGAGCCTGTTTTGATTTCATCCTCAAAACTGGTTCTAGCCAGTTTTTGAGATAGACCAGGATTATTAATATTCTTTTTTTTTTATTATTTAATTTATTTATATAAAGACCACGAAAAATCAATTTAGCATCGAAATTTTTTTATTATTTTCTTTTTTTCTGTCCGATTTTAGGATAATAAAATTTTACATTAGATTAACTATTAAAATTTTTCTTATTTTAATTCGACGTTGTATTTTACTTTTGATTAACTTTAAAATAAATTTGGGTTACTTTTATTACTCGACGTTGTCCCAGTGATCCCAAGATAAAATCGATACCCAAACCTGGCCCCCCTGGATCCCATCATCGACCATCCCGGACCCCCGAACACGAACTGTGTTTTCCCCTCTCTGACGGGGGGACCCGTCTGTCGAAATTATTATACAGGAAAAAATATTAGTTCAGAAAGAAATAAATTTATCTACAGATTATATATATAATAGTAAAATACAACTGCTCAAAATAAAAAAATCAATAAATACATTGCTGAAATTATTATAACGTCCTCTATCCCCCTACATACCCTTATAAATATTAATAAATTTTTGGAAATGATTGGTTACATAAATCCAAATATTAAAGTGTTGACTTATAATACTTTTAAAAAAAATATTCTAAACAATACATAAATAAAAAGAGTCAAGTTATATCCATGCTAGCTAAATTGCCAGGAAAACTGGCTATAACAACAGATTTATGGATGTCTGTTCAAAAGCTTCCATATATATCTATAAGTGGCCATTATATAGATGAAACATGGAAAATGAAAGAAATAATTTTGGATATTAATTATGTGCCGTATCCTCACAAAGCTGAAAATATATATAAATGCCTTACTGAATTAATTATTGAATACAATTTAAAAGAAAAAATTATCAGTTTAAGAACTGATAATGCTGCAAATATGCTTAAAACTCAGAGATTATTGAAAACTTACATGACCTAACCCATTTGCAGAATATGGCTGTATGGCACATGTGATAAACATCATTTGCCAGGATATTCTGAAAAATATAGATGAAGTTATTGTGAAAGTATGATCAATTACAACAAACATATCTCAAAGTCCTTTATTACTTCAAAAATATAGAGTATTACTTAAAGATAATGGACCAAAAATTCCAATTGATGTTGAAACCCGCTGGAATTCATCATATTTGATGTTGGAGAAGGTCTTATCAGTAAATTATCTATCTATATTTTTAATAGGATTATATATTTTTTATTATTAGAATTTTGAGGCAATAAAAACTTTTTGTTATTCTGAATATGAAACATTTGGCAACATTGCCTTGACTAATGGTGACAAAAATAAAATAGAGGAACTAATTCCTTTATTAAAGCCATTCTATGAAACCACCTTGGATTTATCTGGATCCTCTTATCCAACTATTGGTTGAATATTTATTTAATTTTTTAAATAGTTTTTCTCTTATTTAGGCATGTGTCTTATGCTAATGGAAAATATACAAATACATATTGAAAATATGTTTACTTCCAATTCTTTCCCCTCTTTTATTGATGCACCTTTTACATTGAAAGTCACAAAAAAAATTAATCACTATATTCATACATTTTTAAGTATGGAGTCCTATATTAGGACTCTATTAGACCCCAGAATTAAAAAAGTTATTCCTAATTATTTATAGTATATTATAAAATTTCTTTTTATTTAGGTTCACATGTTTAATTTATTAAATACTCATGAAAATTTTATTCAATTTAAAGAAATATTTGAAAAATATGCAAGCACTTTATCAAGTGGCATAAAGTCAAACAAAGTATATAAAAATATTTATTTATTTTATTGATCATTATTATTTAAGGAAATATCTTTGAGGGAGAGAATAGCCAGGGATAGGCTCATGGGAACTGGGACATCAGCAGAGAAAGATGATAATGAAATCCAAAGCTATTTATCTGATATTTTATATCCGACTAACATACTAGATTGGTGGGAAGGGAATCGATTTCGAATTCTAGCCAAAATAGCTATGGACTATCTCCCACAACAGGCTACATCTGTAGCATGTGAACGGATATTTTCCAAAGCTAGTGATAAAATAACAAAAAAACGAAATAGAATGAATCCGAAGATGGTTCAATCTATGATGACACTGGAATCTTGGATTAAAAATGGATAAATTTTAGATTTTTTAAAAGATAATTAAAATATTTATTTATTTATAATCAAATATCTATCGCAATATATATTACATATAAAACTAATTAATTATGTAAATCAAATTTAAATTGTATTCAATAAATTTGTATTAATATTCTTTTGTAATATTAGGCATGTATTGTGTATAATATAATAAAAATAATTTTGATATAATTAAAAATATTGAAATAAATTTAATGCTAAATAAACTTTTGTGGCTTGATAAAAAAATTGATGGGACCGGACCGATGGTCCCACGGTCCGGTCTCATTAGACTTATATATTAGAAAAAAGGGACCGGACCGTTGCAAACACTAGAAGGAGGGTTCTCGTTCCCTAATTTATAGTCTTCATTGTAGAAATAAAAAAAATTAAATTAAATACACAATTCGATTTTTTTCATAAAATGTATTGATTTCTTATTTACATTTAGTTCAAAAAGGAGGGGGGGGGGTGAAAAATCAGTATAAATATCGGATCGGTTTTGAACCAATATCGGATGGGTAAAAAAATGTGGATCGGCACTGCCCTAATTTATATTTATTTGCCCATCTTTTTTCGTTAAACAAGACTATATTTATTTAGGTATTTATATTAATAAATTTTTCTTTATATCAAATTAATTTAATATTAATTATATAATTTACTTTAAATAGTAAAATCTGTCTAATCTGTAAAAGTTAATTAATATTTTTAAATCTCTCCCTTCAAACTTATAGTGGTCATTTTGACAGTCATTTTAGCTTATTTGCTTTTTTAAACATTTTTTAATAGTAGTAATTGGGGACCATAACAATTTTTGACAGCCATTTTAGCTTATTTGCTTTTTTAACATTTTTTAATAATAGTAAATGCGGACCATAACCATTTATTTATAGCAGAATTTATTTCACAGGTTTTTTAAATATTGAATAAAATAAATAATAGATTTATCAATATCTATAACTACTGAAATTGAAGATTCAGATCTAGAAGAAATCACAATTGTTGAAGTGGAAAGGAAGAAAATTACAATGTATAAACCCTTTATCACTTCTTCAGTTCAGTAGGTTTTTAAAAAATACTTTATTAGAAACGGAACGGATGAAGAAGAATAAACAATTCTTAATATCGATTCCTTTCACTTTACAAGAACCTCAATATTCCCGTAATGATTCACCCAACATTGAAGTCTAGCTGACTTTATTAATCTGGCACAGAATAAGCTATTAAAAGACAAGCTTTTTTAAAAAAATATCATCTTTATTTATATAGAACTATTTAAAAAGCTAAAATCAACTATTTGGTTCTCAAAAAGAGCCGTATATTTCAGTATCTCTTTCCATTTTATATTTTCATACAATCTATTTTATTTAAATAATATTAGTAGTGCTGTAAAGTAACGTCGCTACTAAAACTACGTTATCTTTTTGAGGAAAAGGAACGTCGGGGTAACGAGTAAAGCGTTTTTTTGAGAGTAAAGCAAAGGTTACTTTTAATTTTATCTTAAAAAAATATTTTATTATATACTATGCTTTTCTAAATTTTATAAATAATTTAAGCCGAGTTTTTAATTAAGATCAACAACCAAAATTTCTTCATTTTTATTTTATTTATTATATTTTTTTTGTTTTCATTATATTTTTGTTAATCTAATTATACTGAATCAATTAAAGTATCGTCGGTCTAGAATTGGAGTGCTCCACTTACCGTTTTTAAGATTTATGAGTTAGGAGTGGATTTTAATTGATTAATTCCATTAAATATACAAATAAAAACTAGATTTAAAAATAATCGTTTTTGACCACGTTAGAGCACTGTCAATTTTGGGATATTTTCGTATTTTTTGCTATATATGCACTATGATATTATCATTTTATAATCACCCGTTGTGCACCTTAAATTATATAAATATATATGGAAAAAATTATCAGTTAAATATTTGCATTATATATTATTCAGCTAAATTATTATTTATATGAATAAATTAAATAAATATTATGTTTATATTATATAATTTGATGATTTAAGTACCTTTTTATTGTTTTTATTTAAGTTGTCATTAATAAAATTGAAATAGAAGAGTTTTTTTGAGAGTAAAGCAAAGGTTACTTTTAATTTTATCTTAAAAAAATATTTTATTATATACTATGCTTTTCTAAATTTTATAAATAATTTAAGCCGAGTTTTTAATTAAGATCAACAACCAAAATTTCTTCATTTTTATTTTATTTATTATATTTTTTTGTTTTCATTATATTTTTGTTAATCTAATTATACTGAATCAATTAAAGTATCGTCGGTCTAGAATTGGAGTGCTCCACTTACCGTTTTTAAGATTTATGAGTTAGGAGTGGATTTTAATTGATTAATTCCATTAAATATACAAATAAAAACTAGATTTAAAAATAATCGTTTTTGACCACGTTAGAGCAGTCAATTTTGGGATATTTTCGTATTTTTTGCTATATATGCACTATGATATTATCATTTTATAATCACCCGTTGTGCACCTTAAATTATATAAATATATATGGAAAAAATTATCAGTTAAATATTTGCATTATATATTATTCAGCTAAATTATTATTTATATGAATAAATTAAATAAATATTATGTTTATATTATATAATTTGATGATTTAAGTACCTTTTTATTGTTTTTATTTAAGTTGTCATTAATAAAATTGAAATAGAAGAGCATTTTGAACAAAAAAAAAGAAAGAAAGAAAGAAAAATTCATAAGGTGTTCATTTTGCTAGGGGAATATTTTGACTTTGAGGAATTTTTAAAAAAAGTAAATAAAAATTAAATTATAATAATTATGAGGTATAAATTTTTTTAAGGAAAATAAAATGAAAGCATGTGATAAATGAATTAACAGAAATAAAAATAAAGGGTGTACTTATTTTTAATTATGAATGTGCATGGCAAGAGAGGATGTATAATAAGTAAAGGGAAATTTTTTTATCTATTTTTTTACTCACTAAGAATTTCTTTTTGTTCTAATTCCCAGAATAAATTATTTGGAAATCCCCAATAATAATTCTTAGAAAATAATTCTACGGAATTTATTTTCTCAAAATTTTTAATAAATTATTTGAGGATTTTTATTCCATAGAATTTTTTCTCCTATTTTATTAATTTTGTAATTTTTAATATCTTAAAAAACGGGGATTTTTTTCCGGGGAATTATTTTCCTAGATTCCTAAACTGGCAAAACTCATGATTTTCTAATATAAATATAAAAAAAGACAGTTCAAATGCAAGATAATAATAGTTTATGATTGGTTAATCAAATAGGACCCCATAATAATTAAAATATTGGGCCAAAAGAAGATAGAACTTTATTTATTATTTTAAAATTAATTTTCCAATTTATTGTAAAGAGGTGGAAGGGTCTATATTTCAATCATTTCTTTTTGATACACTCACAGTGTAAATAGGATTCTGAATTTATAATAGTACCATTCTAGCAATTTTGAATAGAATTGGATGCAAAACTCAGAGGAAAGAGAAATAAAGGAGAAGCAGATAAAAGTAATAGTTAAAGAATTATCGGCCTTTCAAGTTTAACTCGAAGCTAATGAGGCTATATGCTACAAGTTGTTAAAATTTTAAACAATTATTTTCGCACATATAGAGAATATATTTATAATAATTTTCCGAATATTAAATAATTATTTATTAAATATAACACCACTAATACATGTGAGGGAATGTCTCCTTGATAAAAACTTTAATAATGTAATTAAAATCAAATAAAAATATTTGTATAAATGCTATTTTGCTAAAATTAAATAGATGAGTTTTTTTAAAAATATATAACTGTTAGTGATTTATAAAAAAAATCTGCATAAAATGTTTATTCATCGATACTCTTTTATTGCAGATCATTATACTATAATATATAATATTATACGTAGTATTTATTGGAAAAAAGCAAAGATATAAATTCAACGATTAATTAATTTATCAAAATAAAAAAGTAAGTTTTATTAATGATAATTTAAGAGGGTTAATTATGATTTTTGAGTATCAGTTAAAATTGAAGATATTGGCCAAAAATGTGAAAATTAGAATAAAAATATCAACAGAAACCAGAGTATCGGCCGATACTGTGAATTAACAGTTGATATCGATTTTTCTAAAGTATCAAAATTTTATATACTTAAAAAAATGCATTTATATGGGTAACAGAACTCGTTAGAATTTTTATCTATATCGGTTTCGATACATTATAAAAATATTATTAACAAGTCTAGCGGTAATGCATTAGTCATTAATTTCGTGAATTTTTTATAGCAAATGAGTGTATGTAAGCAATAAATAATTACCTATGCCACTAATAGTGAAACAAGGCCGAAAAGTAAACAACGAATAAGGATTTATATAATCAGTTACTTTTTTCATGCGAATTATATTTTTGAAAATGACCCAGATAGATCCATGCTAAATAAATTTTGTAAATATAAGTAAACTTGTACAAAAAAAATCAATTATTTATTTATAAGTGGATTTGGTCAGATTACTGAAAATCTTTAATATACTACCCAAAATTAAAAATGCCAGTTTTTACTTTTGGTTGCAATGCAATGCTAAACGCGTTATTAATAGGATGAAATATTTTATGTAGTGCTGTAAAGTAACGTTGTTAAATTTTTTGAAGAAAAGTAACTCCGTTCGTTACCTTTAGGAGTGTAGCGATACCACTTTTTATAGGCCGATCCGATATTCCAGATATTAAATTGAAATCGGTAGATAACCGATCCGATATCTTATCTAATTTTGTATTCTGTAAAGATACCAATAGTTTTAATTTTTAATATACTTTTTATTAGTATAACATCTCTAATTTTACTATACTATAACATATGTCATTTAAATATATTATAATGATCAGTTATAGTTATATTCAATTCAATTGCAATTCTAAAAGTTTATAAAATATTTTTATTGAAAAATTATTTATTTATATAATAAGTGATAAAATTAAACATTTACATAATTAGTAATAAACAAATATATTATGAAATTTTAAATTAATATTTAAAATTAATATATCGAAGATTTCTTTTTAGAAATACCAAAATTTCCAATTTATCAGAGATCAGTCTGCGGTGATGGGGACTGTCAATATCACTAGCATACTAAAAACAGATTCTGAAGAGATTATTGAACACTTTTTTAAACAGAATGCGAAAAAAAATTATGGCAGAATATTATTAGTTATTATTACTACTAAAAAAATTAAACATAAAAATGGATTTCGATTTTATTTATAAAAATAAATGGTTAATTTTTGTTAAAAGCGCCATTTTTTATCGGATCTGAAATTTTTTTAATATTTGTTGATAAGCGATATTTTAAAATGGTGAAATATCGGCCCGATCCAATATAAAATATCGGTACGTCTCTAGTTATCTTCTTCTAGAGGTAACGAGTAACGGTAACGCGTTTCTTTGTTTTGAGTAACAGTAAAAAAAACATTACTTCAAATATTTCTTTATTATAAATTACTTTTATTTATTTTTTAATTTTATAAATAATAGGTGATGCCTTCTTTCTTATTTCAAATTTTCGTTATTAAATTTTCAGTCAAGATTATTAATCTAATTAATAATGAATCAATCAATATATATGTAAATTTAAATTCTTATTAATATTAGAATTTATTTTTAAAGATTATTATGTCAATTGTACATTTTCTTCAGATAAAAATAGGTAAAGCCTACCTTGGCTTTAATATGAAATATTTTTTACACCAATGAAGAAAAGGAAGAGTCGAAAGTTTACATTTTGTAAGTGAAAATTGTATCCTAACTCAAATATTTTAACAACAATAGTAGAATAAACAAAGGCATCCTCCAAACTGTACAGCCATTTTTAAGGAAAAAGTGGGATATCTGATTATATTGGTTATAACAAGATGGAACTCTTTCTATAACTCCGTGAAATTAATAGCCTTATTAAGGAGAATGATCACAAATTTGATGAATCTTGCAATAAATACAATTACATAAATTTTAAGATAATGGCAAGTCGTTTATAGATGAATATAATATATAGGTTATGGAACCTGTTCCTAAGGCTCTTTCGATTTTTAGAGAGAGAGAGAGAGAAGAAAAAATGCATTTGGAAAATACTCCTACGATTATAATATTAAGAAAATGACTTTAAATAATTTCATTTTGTAAGCTACTTATTAATGCAGTGTAAGACAAAGACAAAGGGTATACAGTTGAAGTAGTTCACAAATTATATTTTAATAATATTTTATTTCAATTGAATATATATTGTCAGCAATAATTCACTCGCTATTTAAATCAGATTGACCCTCGCAAAACTAGAAGTCAGTGTTCCATATAAATATCAACAAGGTACCACAAGTAACTTATTTCCTGTTTGAGAAAAATATTAACAAAGAAAAGGCAAACTTGGTTCCTTTAAAAAACAACTCGTATAGATTATTTTCTAATAAAGATTTAAAAATCTAATGAATATTCCTTTGATGATGAACTTTCTTTTTTCAAAATAAAGATTATTCTTTTTTTAATAAATTCCCCAATAATATTTTATCATTATATATTATTATATAAAAAATATATTATAAATACATATTTAATTAATATTATTTTAAGCATAATTAATTTATATAATATATAAATAGGGAAAAAATATTTTTGTCCATAATATATAATTTTTAAGTAATGAGTAACCAGTTACTTTTTGATTAGCCAGTAACCGTAACGAGTAGAGATCTGCAAAGTTAGGCCCGGCCCGTACGGACTTTGGGCCGGGCTAGGGCCTAATTCTATTTTAAATAATCGGGTTCGGGCCGGGCCTAATATTTTGAAAAAAAATTTGGGCTGGGTCGGGTCGGACCTTGGAAATTTTTTTAAATATATCTAAATTTATCAATTTTATATTGAATTTTTTATTTAAAATAAAAATATTTGATTTTATTTATTGAAACTAAACGACACATAACATATGTCTTTTATTTTGAGTAATTATAAAAATTAATTTCTTTATTTAAATAAATTCGGGCCGGGAAGGTAAATTTTTTTTAAAAAAAATCGGGTTCGGGCCGGGCCTGCAAAACTTTTTAAAAAAATTTCGGGCAGGGCTTGAAAAATAGGCCCGATGCAGATTACCGGTAACACGTCTTTTTTGAAGTAATATTTACAGCACTAAATTTATGTCATAATTATAATATTAAATATAGATAAATGTTGCGCATTTAATCAGGTCGTTTTAAAAATCGACCCAAATAACCTGAGTACAGTTACAGTATAAAAATTAAAATTACCTTAAGTTTATAACCAAAAAATGATTCATTCTGTTGTAGGTTAGATAAATATAAAGATAGGGATAGGAAAATTTCCCGGGAAATAACGGAATTTTCCTTAATATAAATATAATATTTTATTTCAAAAATTATGATTTATAATTTAATTTATTATATAACAAATTTTTAATTTCCTCGTGAGTCTTTAAACTTATTTTTATTAGTGCAACTCTTCAAAGGTAAAATGTTAGACATTATGTTCTCATACATAATATTAATATATATTATAGAATTATTAATAATTAATAGTGTTGTAAACGAACGCGTTTTGAACTCGTTCATCTTTTATTTTTGATAAACTCTGAACGTGAACGCGTTCAAATTTAACGTTCGTTCGATTTAAAAACACATATTTTTATTTATTTTAAAAATTTAATATTGACCCGAATATTTTAAGAAAAAAGTTTTATATTTTATAATCAACTGTTTTTCATTTTTCACATTTCAATTTTTATAACACGCCATTATTAAAATTTATTAATTTGAATATTATTGTTTATATTTTAATTTAATAGATTAGCATAAGCATGGATATTATTATTTCATCATCATCTGATTCTGAAAATTCAAAAACAAATGAATAAATATTACCATGGCCCAAATATGATAAATATTTTACAGTAACATCCTATATTGAAAGAACTAATTCAATTTACCAAATGTAAAATGTGCCCAAAAAGTATTATATCAGTTACAATATCTTCAAGTTTTAATTTAAAACGACATTTGATTTTAATATTATTTATTTTATTTTATATAACATAACTAAGTAAAATCATTAAATTTGAAGAAATAAAGCATTTAGGCTATTTGATCCCAACAATAACGATAGTTATTTTAAAATTAAAAAAAATTAGTGGCCGAAAATATGGTCAATCATTGATAAACGCAGTATTAAACCTATCAGTATCACTATCAAATTTTACATATATTTTATTTTTTTTTTAAATTTGAACATACACTACCGGCCATATATGATTGCCAACCATGCATTTCTTAACATTTTTCTTAAATAAGACAAATCACACAATATGAGGTTTATCAAATTTATTTATAAGTTTTAATAATATTGCATAAAATTACAAAAAATAAAAGATAGCAATTAATTAAGATCAAATTTTGGTCTCATCAATATGACCACCTTTATTCTTAATAATTGCTGCACAAATTTTTGGTAATCTTTCGATGAGATTTTTTTAATATTCGGAAGTGATATTGTTCCATTCTCTCTGTAACACTTCCCAAAGGTGCGAATGAGAGGTTAGAAAGCTTTTTCGCGCTTGTCGATCAAGGTGATCCCATAAAAGTTCGATTGGATTGAGATCGGGAGACTGGGATGGCCAAACCCGAGAATACAGTGTTTTTGTATGTAGATTTTGTAAATAATCTTTGCATAGCCTGGATGTATGCTTTGTGTCATTATCTTGTTCAAATAAAAAGTTATTCCCGACCAAACGCTTTCCTGGTGAAATCAAATGGTCCTCAATGATTTGCCGGTATCCCTCCTTGTTAAGGATTCCTTTAATTTTGACAATGACCAAAGCTTTCCCACACCATAACAAACCCTCCCCCGAATTTGACTATAGGAATTATGCAGTGACCCTCATTCGCTCTCCAGCTGAGCGGAGTATATATTGCCTTCTTTTAGAACCGAAGATTTCGAATTTTGACTCATCACTCCATAAGACCTGGTACCAGTTGGCAGATGTCCAAAATTGATGTTTTCGTGCCCAGTCTAATAGCTTGAGTTTATTTTTTTGCTCAAGAGTGGCATTTGACCGCCACCCTACCGTAAGGTTCAAAACTCCTAAGGCGACTTTTCACAGTTAAGACACTAATAGGGTTTTACCGAGTCAGATTAATCTTTGCAGCTATCTATGAGGCGACAAGGCGTCAATTGTTTAATGATCCTTGCTATATACCTATCACCGCTTAAAGTCGTTTTGCGGAGTCTTCCAGGCCTCTGGATTCGATATTGTATTATTGTTGCGTAATCTTTTAAGTAGACTGTTCGTCGAGCTAGGGTTAATTCTCTGGCAATTCAGCGATTACTTTTACCACTTATGTGTAAATAAATTATTTTGCATTTAGTTGGAATAGA